CCTGCTGTAATGCGGAACAGACACAGTGACTGAGCGAGGAACAGGCCAGGATGTTCCACCGAGGTTCCACTCAGAGATCCTCGTATATTAAAGCACAGCTCTCACATGGCAGGCTGCTTAGTGACGGCCTTAATCCAGACTTTGTGACAGGTCCATATGCTCTGGCAGAGCTGCTCCAAGCCATAATACACTTCAGAATTCTTTTGTGCTTTTTAAAACTTTTCATCATTAAGCAAGGTGAAAAACCTGTCACTGAAGGGAGAAAGCTGTACACGTCCAGCAGCACATGAAAGCTTATTACCATCACTTTAATATTTTTAGACCAAATACATTATCTGATTATCAAGACAAGTGATGATACCCAGAATATGAACTAATTCTTATGTAGCCATGAGACACTTGAGATGGAGTTCCTCCAAAATGGTGTAAATCATATTAAAAAAACTAAACAAAACAAAAAGCAAACCCCATGCTGACACAGAATCTGCTTCACTTTTCTGTCAGTAAACGCATCTGATTCTCTCAAATGTGTGTTTTATGGTTTTGGAGCAAAACACCATTTTATTTTAAGTATGAAGTCATTGTCAGCTGCTGGCCTGAGCACAGAACAGCAAAATCTCAGAACTGTTGGAGGTTTCTGAGGAACACTGCTGATTTATACCCCACAGTCAGACTGAGCTCAGTATTTATTTGCTCGTACCCAGAGACACTGAATCCAGCAGTTGTCTGCTGCACATTAGGTGCCTCTCAAAGCTGCCTCTGTTTATGACATCACTTTTTATTAATGAGTGTCAGAGGGACACACGAATATGTTGTTTACTGGTGGTGATAAAACTCAAACAGGCTGCAGCCAAGCATCCACCTCAGCTATCTGATCATCCACCATCTGTTTCTGCAGCCTGCTGACAAAGAACTGAAAAATTCAACCTGTTTTCAATCGTACACGCACGGGCCTGATTTTTAATCACTCTGTGTCCACTGGGCGGTCGTCCTGGAGGACGAGCAGCCGTCTTTCTGCCCCTACAGGTTCACCCCTACAGGTGCCTGGAGCAGCAGTGTGCAGTAACTCTGGAGAACAGGAGTCTTCTTATATCACAGTGTGAGAGAGGCTTCCTCCCGCTGGAGGGGACAGGCTCAGTGCCAGCCAGAAAAGACCACAGGGCTGAGTCGCCGCTGGATATAAAAACTTGCTGTGCTGGGAGAGAGAGAAAGAAATGGCCCTGAAGAGAGAGCAGTTAATCCAGAAATGACAACTGTTACACAAAGTGCTCAGTGTGAATTATTCTGTGTTACATAAAGCTGTGTAAACTATTCTGCTGTGTAAACATCTTCCACTTGTGATTGTGAGTTTTGTGATATGCTCCTGCTCCTCACTTCTCTCTCTTCCCTCATTTATCCCAAAGAGTTTCCTCTGACTTTCTCATACTTTCCCACATGCAGTCATTTCTAAAGGTTCATATAAAGCTGAGCGGACACTCGTGGTGGGTGTCTGTGTGGTACCAGGCGTCTCTCTCACTGCCCCCTTTCACCATCTCTCTGCAGCCACCGAGTGCAAGACCACAGCGAAGGCCGACATCGTGCTGCTAGTCGACGGCTCCTGGAGCATCGGCCGCGTTAACTTCAGAACCATCCGTAACTTCATCAGTCGCATGATCAGCGTCTTTGACATTGGCCCGGACAAAGTCCAGATCGGTAATATCTCACAGTTATTACTACTCATACCACAACTATTAAAACTTTCACAGTCATTTGTTCTACTGACTCTTGCCACTGTTGTGTAGTTACAGAAGTCAGAGCGCTGTATTAATTCCATTAATTACTGTAATTTTTTGTTGGTAAACTGGTTAAATTGGAATCACTGCATAGATGTTGTGAAGAAAATGACAGCCAATCTGTGTCCCCTCTGTGTTTCCACACGTCTTCATGTGCTTTTCAGGTCTGACGCAGTACAGTGGAGACCCGAAGACCGAGTGGCACCTCAATACCCATTCGACCAAGGCGTCCCTGCTTAATGCTGTCAACCAGCTGCCATACAAAGGAGGAAACACCATGACAGGTCATTCAACAGCATTTGTCAAATCTTCACCAGGTGCAGCCGCACCAGTTTTTGATCCAGATATATTTTTCTGTAGTTTCCTCATTATCCAATGAAGACTGAAGCATATTATTGCTCGAAACATACAACAACAAGTAGGATTTCTTTTTCAGAGTTGAATACTTTACCAAAAACTGTCAAAAAGGTTGTTTGTCTGTGAGATATTCACCATATCTGCCAGAGTACGGCTAAATGCACAACTTTTGTTTGTTACTTGCAAGGTTAGATACTTACCACTGTTGTAGAACAGAAAAGCAGTGTCTTGACTGTGATTTGAAAAGCTGTGTTACAGATGGCATAGTGTATGAAAACCATTTTTAGTGTTGGCTTGCAGCCTCATGTTGGATGGATTTTACCTGGAAAAGAGCTGATTGTGTATGATGGAACCAAACAGAATGTACATGTAGCTTTTCATATGTCCAGACACTGGCTGAATGTTCAGAAATGCCTCTTTATCCATGACATACAGGACTGGCTCTGAGCTACATCCTCGAGAACAACTTCAAACGTCGCATGGGAATGCGAGATGACTCTCGCAAAATTGGTGTCCTGATCACCGACGGAAAGTCCCAGGATGAAATTGTCTTGAACTCACAGAGTCTGAAAGACAGCGGCATCGAACTCTATGCTATCGGTGAGCGATTTAGTCAGCTGGAACAGCAGTCTGAGAAGAGGGTGATCTGTGAAGTGCTGGTTGTTATGTGCTGTAAACAAGACCTGTGCATGAATTAGAAATGCTTAGTTGTTTTTAGCACGTTAAGATCAGTTAGAAGTTACAAGACTGTGAAAAAATGTATTGAAACTAAAGTCTGCCAAGAAACACTGTAATCGGTTTGAAATCTCAAAGCGAGCCATAGAAAATAGTCAGGAGTGATGCACAGCAACCCTGGGATTAGTTGAGTTTGGGCAACAGAAGTGATTTTAGTACTGGACCAGCCAAATCTGGTTTTTAGCTTGGGTGTAACTTAAATAAATTGTTGTTTCAGATCTCATTTTTGAGCCACAGTTTTGATGATATCTTTTGTTTCAGGTATTAAAAACGCCGATGAGAACGAGCTGAGGACCATCGCCTCCGAACCAACTGAAATTCACATGTACAATGTCAACGAATTCCAGTTCCTGACAGACATTGTTGACGACCTGACCGACAACCTCTGTAACAGTGTCAAGGGTGCAGGTAGGAAAAGAGCCCAAACAGTCTGTCAGCGCCACACAGATCACCTGCATCAACTTCAAGATACGTGTATCATGGTTTCAAAAGGCGGCGAACAGTGGCCACATTTGTTTGTGACAGTTTAGAAGGGTGAAGCGTCTTATAGCTGGTAAACAGCGTTTGTTAGTCCAAACATGCTTTCAGTTAATGAAGGAAGGAGGAAGTCTTTGTCAGGCAGGTTTGACCTTTGAAAGATTTTGTCCAGTTTGCTTAAAATTGGAGATTTTGCCCAGTCTTTTTTAAAAACTGCGATTTTGTAATAGCACAACTGAATATGAACAGCAAAAAAATATCAAAACCAGCATATAAACAAGGAAACATAGCATCACACTTGGTGTAATGGCTCTGCCTCCAAACAGCACCTGAGATATAAAACTCAACTTTTTCCGTTTCTACCCCCCTTCTCTCCCTCCTTCTTCTCATTTGTTCCCTCATGCTATGAAGTTTTATGAGTAAATATCTTGATTGGAGCTTGGCTGCTGCTGCTTGCAGCTGTGTTTACAGCTGTATTTGCAGGATATTCTCTAAACACCACAGAATCAGATTTACACCTTTTATTATAATTGGCTGTCCTGAATGGCAGCTTCTCTACCAATAATCTTACCCGTGAAGCCATTTCACTCTGTTGGAGTTGTTGGAACTACAGAGAAGAACTCTGATTATTGCGCAGTGATGCCTTTTTACCTCATAAACAGTCTTCGGCTAACTGCAGACAGCGAGTTGCCTGTTTCTCTGCAGGCTGCACTGAGGTCATAAACCCAACAACAACAAGTTTCATTTTTTCCTGTCATCAGTTTAAGTCACAGAGTTAACGTTCGTTAGCGACAGCTGGTATGGCTCTGCTGGTTGTCATTTTAATCAGTGATGATCAGCAGAAGCTCAAATATTCAAATACTAAAACTGAAAATCGATTACTTACCCAACGAATGAATATTTGGGTCCAGCCTGATTATTTAATGGTGTTTGAGGTCAGATAGAAACTTTGTAGAAAGTCCTAATATTCCAAAATTTACAAACCATAGTTTTTTAAGAGGGACAACCGTACACTGTTTCAGTTTTACTGCAGGCTTTCAGGTGGTTTTAAAGGAAGGACTAAGCTTTTAGTCCAAGTAAAGACATGACCATCAGCGAAATTACACTTCATTGGTACAGCTGCTTATACCCTGCTTGAATGACAAAATTAATGGCAGGTGAGTAGAAATTATGCAGTTATCGTCATCCCCAGATGAGAACATTGTGTTTTTATTATTCACAGATCAGTTCTACCCTTAAAAGCAGGAAAGCAGAAGATCACCCTGGTTTGGCTGAAAAGAGAAAACAAAAATGTGACCTGACATTCTCAATTATTTCACACCATCAAAGGGTTTTGCGACTCAAATCCAAGCATCTGATGGAGATTTTCACATTGGAAGTACTTTCTATCTACAAGTCAGTTTTAGGAGGAAATACAAAGTTAAAGAAAAGCATATTTATAGAAAACCTTTGTCAGTGGAGCTGAACTATGCAGCAGGCCAACAGCTTCGCTATCAGAGGAGCAAACGCCCAAGAGCAGAGTCGTAGCAGCAGGGGTCATTGTGTGGCATACTTGACATGTTGCAACGTATTTTAGCTCCTGTTTGTTCCCTTTCAGAAATTAAAGCGCAGCCGCCCAATAACCTGGTGACATCAGAGGTGACCCACCACTCCTTCCGTGCCAGCTGGACGGCACCCGAAGGCCCCATTGACGTGTATCGCGTCACATACATGACCATGGGAGGAGTGCCTATGGAGGTGAGATAAAGCTTGTCGTCCTTCCTGTTACTCTTCATCAGTCACTGTTAACACTGCTGCATTTCAAGCCAGATCTGAACATAAGTGTTTAACTTGTGGTCACTTCACATCATACGGAAGTCAAAAAGTTCACATAGTAACTTTGTTATACAGGATGTTAATCAGCCCTACCATTTGTTAGCACTGGCTGTGATCATGAATATCATATATCATCTTGCTTATTCATTCCCTCTGGGTCCAATGAGATCAGCTGTAGCCTCTGTAAATGGCACCGGCACCGGTCAGGTAAGATTTACTTGAAAAGATGTTGTCAGTCACATAAAAACAGACTAGCTGACAGTCACATCCTCCCCCATTGTTGAAAATTGTGGTATGTGTCATTCCTATGTGGCAAAAGTTACAAGGCAGATTAAAACCCAACTCTTCACATATCCAGACCTGGCTTGTAGTCAAAACCTTGTTTCTGAGAGCACTGGTGTTTTCCATCCTTTGTGTTTTTATTGGCCTTTGTCAGACAGAGCCTGTGATTGTATCGGGCTCATCTTAAACCAAGCAGACTTTCCACTGTGATCCACTTACTTTAATGCTATAGACCTCAGATGACTCATTGTATATCCTCCCACTTTGTTTATGTTGGATTGCAAAGCACGTATGATCAAAAGCACGAGAACTGATATTTACTTGCTGAGTATTTAGTGTAGACCTCCTCTACAGTGATGTACAGCCATGGTTTGCTGCCGGGTCCCAAAAGAGTCTCAAGTTTTGGTTGTGAAGTTACCTCCAAGTCCCAAACATTATTTCATGTCATACATGTCTGTATGTGCCCATCACTAAATTTAGAGTCTCGGTCTGTTAAATTTAGGAATTTCTTTTTTTATTACTTTCAAATTCTGTTCAATTTATTCTGCTCAGAGACAAAATGAATAGTGCGCCTTGGTGTGTTTGTATTTTGCATGTTCCCATCAGTTTTTAGTTGAACATGATAGAGTATTGACGTCTGAATGTCACAATGTGTCTGCAGTGACTCTGCACCTTTAATTCTGCTCACACAGAATTTTCCCTTAAGTCATTTCAAGTCAAAAGAGTGAAGTCATGAGTCACTGATGTAAAATCAAATGTTGTTTTTAATTTTTTCAAGTGTAAAGGCATCCGTCATGTAACTCGAGTCCAAGCCTCTGCTTCATGTTATCGACGACCATTTCTCAGACCGTGTAAGCAACGCCGTGATGATGTTTGAAAGTCCGCAGTTTTCACTTCAGGTCAGGAGCTATGAAAAAACCCTGCAGAGCCATGAAACGTGCTCAGTATAACTAATGCACCACAATGAATCTTACATCTGCTCAGGTTTTTGTTGTTAGTTCATTTGTCAGTTTTAATTCAGTTTAAGGTGTGGACTGATACGTGATGTCGTCCTGGTGGAGCATAGTCACAATCTGAAATTGAATAAAACCACGCTCTAAAATCATTGCACTTTAATGGTATTTAGATTCTTATAGTAGAAATATTATTATTGCCATTAAACAGTACTTCTATTGGCAAATACACAGATTGGGGGGAAGAGGCGGTATTGGTGCATCCCTAATTAAGGTGGGTGGCTGCACTGTAGTCGTGATAAACTTGATTTTAGAAAATATTTTAAACAACTGGGTTTCCATTGGAAACAGGTTGCACTTAATCGGTTGCAGAGACAAATAACTTGATAAGAAGGAGATGTTTGCCGCTCATATAACTGAACAGTCCACCAGCCTGTGAAGCTGCAGCCGCTTCATGTTAGGATACAGTTCCTCCTCTGGGCTTCATTTTTCAGCAGAGCAACAGGAATGTGTCACCGTTTAGCAGCCAAGTTCACCGTCCCTTGTGAGGGCTTTCTGCCCAGCACATGAATGCAGCACTACAGCTTCGGCTTCACGGACTGTAATCATCTAATGGTGAAAAGGTTCTGGAGCACTACCAAACACTGACTGATAGATCCCGATGAGCAGATTGCCAAGAGAGATCGGTTCACCAATCATCCAGATCTTTAACTGTTTCAGATAACAAGCTGACGTAATCACTGGCTGACAGACTCCCTGTCGTTGTGATTTTTAATGTTACCCTAATGTAGTGTTGGACAGTGAGTTGATGCCTGGTGCCTTGAAAGAACTGAGCTGAAATGATTAGTCATTTTATCGAATAATTAAATCCGCAACAAGTTTAGAATAATTGTGGAGTTAATTTGGAAGTTCCAAAAATTCTGAGGTTGCAGCTTCTAACATGTTTGTATTTAATAACAGAAGGCTGGGAGAGTTGGTTTGGTAAAAGTGATTTAAATACGTGGATGTGGGGCCTGTGAAGCTGTGATGAATGTTTTTCACTAGTTGTGGATGTCTTATAGACTAAATATTAATCAAGTAATTGAAAACACATTCAACACATTGCTTTATTCTGTACACAAGGCGTCTGTTTATCCTGGAAGAGGCATCTCTTCTCTGTTTCTCTTCCTGAGATTATTTTGTTTCACTTCACTCATTTTCTGGGGGTGTTTTTCCTGATCCGTGGGGTTTGGCCCAGGTCAGGTTTGTTGTTGTGAGGCCCAGATTGTCATGAATAAAGTCGTCTTCAAAGCACCTGCCAGGTTGACTTCAGAGCTGATAACCACTCTTTTATGGTTTCAGCTGATGGTCGATGTGACGATGACCACTACAGTGCTGGAAAACCTGAACCCTCTGACTGAGTACCTCGTCAATGTTTACTCTGTGGTCGGTGGGGAGAGCAGCGAGCCGCTGAAGGGCACTGAGACCACCTGTAAGTATGTTTTCTCTTCACCCGGTTGCCTTCCTCTGTTTCTCCTTAAACTTCTAAGGCCTCTTCCTCTTTAACTAATGGCAGAAGTGCTCAGTTTCCGCACTCGATGGCTTTTTCACAATATGCTAGTTGCCCTTTGGTTTGACAGACATGATTAAAGAGGAGCTTTACAGGGTGTTCGCCAATGTTCCCCCTAATTTTTCATGTGTCTGAGCATACACACAAACTCCCTGAGAATTCCTTGGACCACTGTGAGCAACATCAGACGTGCACACTGTGGCCACACCAGTATCACACCTTAAATTTCACCTTATTTTTCCCGTCTGTCCTTCTCACTTCTCCAGTGGTTGTAGACTTTGTCCAGGTTGGTGGCCCCCTGTATTTAATATATAGGACTAGCATTTTGTGCACTGTTATGTCTGTGCTCTCATCTACTATCAGGGTATGCCAGGGTGCATTTTTAACATTGAACACCATCTCATTCTACACTATCTGAATGAGGTCACCAATTCAAAGGCATAATTTTTGCTTCGCCAGCTTTCTGGTATACTCATATTTTGCCATGTGATCGTGGATTTGTTGAACCGACAGCATTGATGCATTCATTTTGATGGCAAGTAGAACATTGTCGATGAGAACTTTAACTTGCTCGGGGTCAGATTTCTTTTTGTGTGACAGCTCGTTCCTCTTCTCTCGATCTTTTGCGCTCTCCTGCAGTAATGTACCGATCCCCATCCCCATCTTGCGTCTTCGTACAATTGCAACAGCATTCAAATGACTTTTCTGCTGAATGTGACGCTTGAGGTAGTCCAACTTCCATTCACTCCACACCTTTCCCTCTGAAAACTCACTTGCTACTTTGGCTTCGCAGCATGTTTTGCAGAGCAGCCCTTTCTCACTCGAAAAAGAAAATATCTCACCCAGTTTCACCTCTTGTTCTTCTGTTCGCACATACTCCGACAACCATTCCATCTTAAAAGAACCGCATTTCTTTTTTACTTTGGCTTGGTGAGTGGATGTGCCACTGCCTGTTCGTTTCGCCATAGTAAAGGGTTAGCTTAGCAGCATTTACCTCTCTTAATTAACTCCGCTGCACCGTTAGCTATATGCTAACCTGCAAAACGGGCACATGCGCATTAAGCGCCGTTAATGACATTGATTGGCTGCGTAAGTAAATACATGCGAACCGCATCATATCATTGGCTGGACAGTGTTAGTCATTGTTTTACTGTAATTACCGCTTGTTGTCACTTGTCACTCACTGAGTTGCATTGCAACATGGGACAGAATAAATTACGTGTTTATTTTATTTATAGTCCATTTTATGTGCTGCATAGATTTGCTGTGTGCGGAGAACGTGGGAGCAGTGCGCGATTGCGCAAGCGCACAGCTTAGAGGGATCAGTGGTGTTCACACATACTGAGACAAATCCCTGGGCCATCAAGAGCCGCCCATTCATTGCCTGTGGAAACTGAGTGCTGTCACTCAGTCCACCCTACTGTGTGAGACAGTGACTGAAGGTGCCCGGCATGGCGACAGCCCACGTCTGGGAAAAGATTTAATGTATGCAGCAACAGCTGGGCAAGAGCCAGTTGGGATTATCTTGATCTCAAACAGTGATGACAAAGATTTTGAGCCAGGCTCAAAGCTGTTAATCATTTTCCTCGTAGGACTGGTATTATGCCACATAAGTTTTGACATTTTTCAGGCGACAAAGTAACCACTGACATCATGTGGTCAGTCTATCCAGGTAAGGCCAATTTAGGAATTTGTTTGGACATTTTCTGAGATGAGTGCTTGTTATCTGACCGGTTATCTGACCGAGCTAGTTCTACCAGCAGACATAAGCCTTAACCTCACGTGTGACATCAAATGTTCTGCAGATCAAAAGTGCTAAACTTCATGACAAGTACGTTATTCTTTATGATTAAAAAGCACATATAGGATTGTCCAGCCTTGGTGTTCTCTGAATACTCGTACAGTCTACTAAAAGACATAAACTGAAGGTGTCCAGAGCCATTCCTCATTCTGACTGCGTGTTTCTGTCCTTTCAGTGCCGCTACCACCAGTGACAAACATCAATGTTTACGATGAGACTGTAACCACCATGAAGGTGTCATGGGAGAAGGTGGACGGTGCCACAGGTTACCTGATGCTCTACAAGTCCATCAATGCCACTGAGCCTCAGCTGGAGCAAGAGGTAAAGAAGTGCTACCTTGAGATGCAACATGGGAGGCTGTGTTTTTACCATGTTGTTTTAAGTTTATTCATTCAAAGAGACACCTGCTTTGACACCAGTAATTTATTATGAATTGCTGTTCTCCTTTTTACCGAGTAACTGCCAATGTGAAGGAGGGAGGCAGTGCCTCTGCCAATAGTTACAAGACTGGACACCTTTAACTGTTTTGATTGAGTTGAGTTGGTTAGTTGACATTGGTTTGCTAGAAACTTAACGCTGCTAAACTAAAGTAACTACCTTAAACAATACATTTAACATACTAATTTCATGGTGGTATCGTGTCCTGTTAGCTGACGTTAGTTAGTTTGTAGTGCAGTCCACATGAAGTTCAGGTCACTTCATGCCCTGTTGCCATGTCCCGTTGTCATTGGATTTATCAGACGGTGTGCAAAATCTTAGTTAATGCACCTTTAACCAGAAAGTGGTAATGTTTAAACATTTTGTCCCCAAATGTTAGGTGAGTACCCCTCTTCTTCTTCTTTTGGCTGTTCCCGTTAGGGGTCGGCACAGCGAATCATCTGTTTCCACCTAACTCTATCCTTGTCATCCTCGATTCTCGCCCCATGTGACTACATATGTACACCACAACACTTAAAATACAAACACTTTTAAACAAAGGAAACACACCCATGGATTTACAAACTCACTCATGATAATTTGTGTGCCCAGCGTTTTCAAATAGACTTTATAACAACGGGCTTTTTCTTCAACCGTGTTACTGCTTCCAGATGGCGATACGATGAGCTCTTGCAGAACAGGAACTTCTTGAACCGCGTTACTGCTTCCAGATGGTGATACGATGAGCTCTTGCAGAACAGGAAGTGGACTACAAAAAGCAGAGACCTCACACAGAGCAGTGGGAAGGATTAGCTAATGGCCGGAAGTCATTGGGATGAAATAAACGGAACAGATGCTATACGCATGGAGCTTGAACGCCTCTGTACTTTTAACCTACACTACAAAGAATCGTACAACAGTAGAGCATTTAAGGGATTATTCAATGTAGGGTTTGTGTAATTCAGCGCATCAAAATAAAGTAGAGCATCATATTATGTATCAACATTAATCATTTGTCATTAAATATGGATTAAAATGACTTTTATAGTGTATTTCTGGCTCAACACAATGATGTATACACTTCATGGCCAGATGTATGTGGCAGACATTACATTCTGGAACCTGGCTGCAGGGATTTTTTTTATCACTCAGGCCCAAAAGCCTCAGTGAGGTCCACACTGATGTTGGTGGCAAGATCTGGCTCACAGTCAGATATCCTGTTCATCCCTGTGGTGGTGGATGGGGTTGAGGTCAGGACCCTGTGCAGGACAGTCAAAACTGAGAAAGCCATTTCTTTTTGGGTTTGACAACATTGTCCACAAAGTTGGAAGCAACTTTGAAAATTCATTGATTTATATTTGAACTAAGGGGTTCAAATGTGCACAAAAATATGCATCTTATTTACCTTTGACTTTGGTATACTGTAGGAAATTCATATGGAATTAGACTACGACATGCAGGAACACTGGTATGGAGCTAATAACGACATTACATCTTTATTTATACACCATTATTTGTATGTTTAGTTTATGTGGAAACATCATGAGTCACGTCAGCAGACCACATCGGTGTTCCTAAACTAGAAAAAGAACAACAACAGAAATCCCCACTTTCTTACAAAGCCAGCCTCTTCTGCTGACCGACCTCCACCTTTGTTGTTCTCTCTCCCTGTCTATCCCACACCCTCTTTCTTTTCTTGTTTTTCTCCCCTTTGTAGGTACGAGTTGATGGAGATGTAAATATTGTCCAGCTGCTGGATCTGACACCCAACACAGCATACACCATCACACTTCACGCCCTGCACGGTGAAGCTGTCAGCGACCCTCTGGAGGGGACAGGAGTCACGTGTATGTAACAGTAAACTGATTTCATACTGTACACGGGCTCTGCAGGCATTTGTTAAAGGCAGAGCTTGTTTAATTAAACTCCAAATACCAAGGCAGCTTATTGACTTCAGACACGATAGTGAACATAAAACTAGTGTTATACACAGCGAGGACAGCCAGATCGTGGAGCCTTGTAAATATCTGGGTACTTTGTTTGATTGTCGGCTGAAGTTTGACATTAACACAGAGTCTGTTGTCAAAAGAGAACAACAGAGAATCCACTTCCTGAGGGAAGTGAACTCTTTTAATGTCAGTGTGAGAGTTTTAAGCAACTTTTAATTTTTGTTATTGAAAGTCTTCTAAGCTTTTCTTGTGTCTGCTGGTTTAATGGATTATACATGCAAAAGAACTGTTTGCATAGCGCTGTTAAGATCTGCCCAAGATTATTGGAGTTAAGCAAAAAGACATGTGTTCTCTCTGTGAGACAAAAAGGCAAAGAACATTATGAGCCAACCGCATCATGCTCTGCCCTGTAAATTTACATTGATGCCTTCTGGCCGCCGCCAGAAGTACCTGTGACAAGAATGAATTGATACTCCAAATCTTTATTCCTTCTGCTATCAGGCTACTAAAGTCAGACAGTAGTGTTTAATGATTGTTTTATTTATTTGTCGATTTTACCGAGCTTTTTATTTTGCTGTCCATCACCGACCTGCTTGCTTGTTTCAAATGAATTGCCTTCTTGGGATCAGTAAAGTTCTCTAAATCTGAATCTGAGAACCGCAGAAGTGAAGGTGACACGTTCTCATGTTTGAAAACTTTTCAGAATATTCACAAAACTCCATAAAAACAATACATTCTCCACGGTCTAGAGAGAACAGAGGATTGGAAAAACAGCAAAAATGTCTCAGAGCAACAGCATGTTTACCGTTGTGCTAATGTCTGCTTCTTCTCTGACTGACAAACAGTGACACATCTTACCCTGCACATCAGCTTGCTGAATGTGTAACTAATTAACCCTCAGCCAGTGACAACTGCACTGCTGCTATCGGTTTGCAGGCTAGATAAACAATTAGCTAGGCAGCTGCAGCACATTGCACAGCTTACACTAGGAATGCACTGATACCACTATCAGGTCCAATACCAGCCTGTAGTATTCGTATTCATAAAGGTTCTGATACTACACACTGAACACTTAACGGCAACATTATATTAACCCCTCTAAACCCATTTGGTTGCTCATCTGCTGATTGTAGTATAGTGTTAAATTTAGGTAGTTTAGGGTTGAGTCTAATGAGCTCTGTGTATGAAAATGGGTGGAGCTGCTGTGGACTCGGAGGCTGAGACCGGATCAGTCAGCATCTTCTCAAGTCTTCAGAGAAACATTGACAGTGGTGCTGGGGTCAGATTTGTTTTTGTACTGCAGTCTGGGTGGTTAAAGGTTTAATGGATGTCCTCCTCCTGTCCTCCCTTAGTGCCCGTGCCTCCTGCTGGACTCCTGAGAATCACTGATGTTACTCACAGCACCATGAGGCTGAACTGGGATGCTGCTCCGGGACCTGTCCGCAAATACACGATCACCTACAAAACAAAGCAAGGAGATATGAAAGAGGTGAAACTGGGATTTTGTTTTTCTGTGTTAAACTCCAGTGCAGATTTAAAAACACTGGTGTTGGGTTGCGTTCATTACAGACTGGGAATGCACCGAATCAGCCCAGATTACAGACTAGAAATATCTGATGGTTGGTTATGAGTTGTACCTTCTTCAGTGGGTACAAACTGTTACAGTACCAGAATGAAATATTAAACATATCAATAAATTACACCTGTTGGTTTAGCTTTAAAGTGCAGTAGGTGACCATGTGAAATGATTTGCCAGTTGATTGGTTGACAGATATCTGATTAATTAGTTTTGTTAAGACATTTTCTGGTTTCAGCTTCTCAGATGTTATTACTTTTGTCTGATTTGTATCATCATAAACTGGATATCTTTAGATTTTGGACTATTGATCAGACAAAACAGGACTTTTTTGGGACTTGTACAGAATCGAAGATTTTAAAAAGTTCCAATCAGATTATCGATAATGAAAAGAACCGTTAGTTTCAGCCTTAGAATGACTTGTTTGCTGACTTATATCACTTATGAATGAACATGGGGGATTTATTTTAGCCAGCTGGGCCTAACGGTGTTTCATGCTATAGGGTCCAACTAATGGTGCATGAAGTACAATGAACACACTTCCCACAGGCTTCATTTCTCATCATACAACCCCCATTTCCTGACGTGTGCATCTGTTTTCTAGAATAATGATTCTATGATATTGTGTAGGTTTTGTGTGTTTTTGAAAATGATCTGCGAACCCCTAACAGCATCCCCCCCCCTGTGTCCTTGTTCAAACAGTCTCCACTGTCTTTCAGAGTAATGTCTAAAGAGCCAAAGTGTCCTGTGTATATCAGGGATGAACAGCTGTGACCTTTTCCATTGGCAGGTGTCAGTTGTTACTCCCCAGTCCTAAAAACTAACAGTGTAGCTGCAGAATTTGTTTATAAGGTCATTCAAAGGTGGCTTTATACAATGAAACCTCACTGAGAGTTTTAGTGAGCAGTGATATTTTTGATGGGAAAGCGACCAAGCCAAGTCAGGTGTTACTGCTGCCTCTCCGCGGAGCAGTAGCTCCACAATGTTGGCTGCTCTTTATGAGAAAAGCAGTCTGCTGGCAGAGGAGCGCTGGCCCAGGATGTCAGCCCAGCCAGACTGGATCATCCCAGCGCCACCAGTCCTCATAATTTCTCACTTGGATGTCAGCGGAGGACAAATAGTCTGGGGTGAATCAGCAGCCCAAGGTGCCGTCGATGAACAGCTGCAGGACTTTTCCAGAAAGTTCTGATGGATGATAATGCACCAGCTCAATTCCTCCTGAGCATTACAGCTGAAGACTTCTTGTCTGTACAGAAGAAGCCCACACATTGGACTCATGCCTGCTGAGTGCTTTATCACTTCTACCGCTTACTTTAAACAGCTCTCCCCTGAAATGGAAAACTCGACTGAAGAGCCAGTGTTGTAAGCATCAAAGCTTCAGTGTGATTTATTCACCCGCCTGGTATTCCCTGACCCTACAAATACATTTTATTTTATTAGTCTTTAGTTTCACCTGAATAAAATATTTGCCAATTTAAGATAAAACTATTTTATCCAGGATTTCTCACAATCAGACATTGTGTGAGCTGTTTTACCTGAAGGAAGCTCTGAAGGAGAACATGCAGACCCCAAACAGGAAGACTCCAGTCGGCTGCAAAGTTTGAACCCAGAGCCTTCCTGCAGCGAGGCAGCTGTGCCAACTACGAATACATCAGTATAATTTATTTCAACACTTTGTCTAGTTTTTTTGTGCTACATTTTAATTGCTTTTTGTGGAAGAGGCACTGTTTACCTGTGCATACCTGACTGTAGTGGTTTTCACCCACAGTGTCTACATCAAGCTGCTCTGACGTAATAAAACAGACTGACCATCCTCAGTAAATCAGCCTTGGGCTCTTTGAACCTGCCAGCTAACCAGAACTACTGGCCAGAATCATGTTCATTTTTTGATTAAATCACTATGTATGAGTGCTTTGTAGTTACTAATTATGACATTTGCTCCTGACAGATATACTCTGACGCTGACAAAACCACCATGGACCTGAGCAGCCTCACATCCGAGACTCACTACGATGTATCCGTCACCCCGGTGTATGACGAAGGACCTGGATCCCCGATGCTGGGCAGCGCCGTCACAGGTCGGAACCTGATTGTCACCTCTTAATCCTGAAATTTCAGTTTTCCACTTTCACTTTTGTTTGATTTTTTTTTTATTGTTTTTTTTTTTCTTATTTTAAGAAACTGTGCCTCACATGCTCCTCAACAGGGTCTGTAGGAAGTTGGACCTTTTCCAACTCTAGTTTAACAACCCCTCTTTGTCTCGCATGTGTCTGCATCTTATTTTCTTCCATTACTCCCTCATGATATTTACATCAAAGGAAATTTTCCAAATCTTGATGTAAACTTATTGAACAATGAATTCATTAGGTTCTGCAGATGTTTAACAGGAAGTTCATTCCAGTGGTTTGCTGGTCGAACACATCAGGGAGGGTTGAATTTGTGCTAACACATTTAATCTCTGACAGCAGAGAAAAGGTCAAAGAGAAAGATGTTTGAAAAACCACGAGTCAGAAACAGACTCTCATGACTTATGTGCCAAGGAGCACCAAAACTAAGGTGAATGTAAATAATGGCACCTTCCTGTCACAAAATAGACATTAGACTCTTAGTACAGGCCAGACTTTTGGTTTAAAGTGTTATTGAAGTAACTTTTTGATCTAGCAGAATATAAAATAAGTAATCCTAGAATTTGGAGCAGAAACTTGGAGAGGGAGTTTGGTTTTAATACATTTGTGTTACAGTCGTTCTCCGTTCAGAACAAAGCCTTTGTTTTTAATTCATCAACCTGTATGCACGTTAACAAAACTCAAGTTCATGTTACTTAGCTGCAAAGTGATCTGTTCAGTTCACCACTGATGGAAAACAATGAGCTGTCTGTTTATTATCCTGTTTATATTGTTTAGTTCAAATTATTATTTATCTTCTTCGCGGCCTTCTTTTTTTTGTATGAGCAGCTAACTCCATTCCGTTGTTTGTACCGTTGTGTCCATGCAATGACAGAAAAGTCTTTCATTCATTCATTCATTCATTGGCTCTGTATATCACAAATCCATCATAAACACACAGTGTAAACGCATTTGTGTATCAGTGAGGGTTGTCATTCATATGACACATTTCCTAGCCCCTAACTCTAAACCAGCCTGGTTCTACAAGCCCACATGTCTGATTTGTTCAGCCGTTAAAATAGGATCAACCAACAAATCAGGGCCGTTCTTAATCCCAGCTGATTAAGAACGGGGATGTCATCAGCTACCTAACTACATGTATGAGACATGGCGACAGAAAACAGGTGTGGAGGTGGTTGACTTGGTTGTACAGGTTGTCGTAAGGCCATTTATAGGAATAACGACCCTTTAAACCCCCCCTCCCAACAGCTTCCAAAGCTTCTGTGTTTACAGCAGGAAAAAAAATGACATCTGTGGAACAGATGTGAGACTAATGATTGGTTAGGGGCAAAACAAAACAAAATACCTCCCTGATGGTATAAAATTGCACTCACCTTAACCTTAAACCAAGTCTTTAACCCTCAAACAGCCCTCATTTGAAGAAATGGGGGCCAAGGGAAATGTCTTCCCTCTGCAAAATGGTCTTTTCTAATATAGACTCACTAAGTGGTTTTTAATGTACTTTTTAAATGGTACAAAAAAGTCCCAGCATTGCAAAGTTTTTATGTTTGGCTGAGGTAGAAAAGTTACAATGGAAACGGACTGAATGAACCATGTGGCTCAAAAGTCACTCGGGTTCCTGGTGTAAAAACATCAGATCTGTGAGGAGCAGTGCAGAGACTGTAACTGTAGTGGCACTCTTACATTTACCCTTCCTCCACAGATTAGGTTCTTTTTTACTTGTGCTTTGCTGAAAAGAATGCCTAGGTTCCACAAAAACAGCCTTGCATTTGTTTCTCACAACTTTTGTGACGGTATGTCTTAAATCCTTGTGACTTGAAATACCTGATGTTTTGTTGTGACTGTTTCTATGGATAGCATACATATATCCTTGATTTAGATTTTATTTTATCGTGTGATTAATTAATAATCAACAGGGAGGAAGTATAATGGCATTTTTAAGTATATCCATTTGTATTGTTGATTTACATATTCAAGTATAGTCTGCTAACAATTGTGATAATAACTGTGGTAACCTTTCACACACTGGACAAGTGAACTGTGTTTTGTGCTGAATCACTGAATGCCTAAGGTATCTTTGTTTGCTGGAAGAAGCAACTGTAACATCCACAGGCCTTGAAAGTATCTCCTGTGAACCTCTGTGTTTTGCCAATTAGAAAATCTTTGCACACAGAAGCACAGTTGTTCTCAGTGAACCCTCCTTTTGTGTGACGTTACCTTCTGTCTTATATTGAAGTGATTCTTGTTTATCCTTTGAGTCTCTGTAACATGCATCCTGGTGTGTGTTGTAGACAACTCCTTTCTGCAGAAATAAATCAACCTGGACACGTATCCATTCTGAAATCTCTTTATTTCTCACTCACTGTTGGTTGGACATTATTATCAAGGAAATTCAGTTTTTTCCTTAACAGTAACCTTCCTTACATTAACAAAGCTGAACACATACAGTGTTTCAACTCTCATACAGGCACACACATGTTGCAGTCAACTACACACTTGGAGCTACAGTTAATAATCTTCACATGATGTTGACTCACTTCTCAGACCTCCTCCTAAGCACATCCTTCCTCTTTTGTTGTTCCTGTCGGTGTGAACAGATGCTGTTCCTCCACCCAAGAACCTGAGGTTCTCTGAGGTGACCCAGACCTCGTTCAGAGCCTCCTGGGACCACGGAGCCCCAGATGTGGCCCTCTACCGCCTCGGCTGGACCAAGAGTGGGGAGAGCAACTTCGAGTTTGTAAGTTAGTGTGTCTGGGATGGCATCGCTCCTTAAACGCTCTTTGGCAGTGACTGTATTCAAATGCAAACTTTTGAAGAGTGAGTCAGGGCAGACTGGAGCAAACTTAAAACTTAAAGCTGTGTTAACTAACGTCTCCCTCTAATTTTCTACTGTTAAGGTCGAAGTGAGAGTCAAAACAAACTCAAGCAGTATCCCCTCCTCTTCTCCCTTTGCTCCTTTTTGCCCCTCTTGCCCTGTCTGTCAAACTATGTCATATGTGTTCACGACAGCCAGAGATAGCTGTAGCAGCAAGGTAGCGCAGCAGCAATAAGCGGCTCCAGAGCTAATGTATATGGAATATAGTTTTGGCATTACAGCAACACAGTGTCAAATAAAGAGGTTTACATTTTAGCAACATGCATTTTCTGTGGTCCTACTGCCTGGATGAAAGAGATTTCCCTAATTTCCTTTTCATTGCTCTTGACGGTCGACTAACCACCTCCTTCCTGTGTCTGTTGCAAGGCTATCCTGAACAATGATGAGAACAGCCATGTCCTGGAGAACCTGGAGACAGACACTGAGTACACTGTCACCGTCACAGCCATCTACCCAGATGAGTCAGAGAGTGAAGACCTGACAGGAAGCGAGCGCACATGTAAGATAACCACTGCACCCCCCATCGCCTTCCCAGCCCCAAAAACAGCCATTATATTTTACACTCACAGATGTAGCTCACACTGAAATAACATTGTTTTCTCAATGTCTTTTTCCTAGTGTTAAAGGATCTACAGGGTAGGTCGTATGAGAAGGACAGGCCCCTTTTTCATTCTAATATTCATGAGTTTGTGTGGAATGGTAATATGGAGGGTAACGGACAGCGTTAATGGGAGCACACTTTTTCTTTGACTGCACGAATATGCATTTTACTGCCTCATTGTGCGTTCATGCCACAAGCTACTCGTGGAGTCATAGATGAGCATGGGTTTTCTGTGACCAAAGAAACTTGAGCCACAATAATTATTTTTTTACCGTTGTGTTGCGTTTTGAAAGTTGTCTGCAGCCCAGCCCATCAGCCCAAGCTGACTGCAGCTACCAGTCAGCTTGCTGGTTTCAGCAAATCCAGCTCAGAATTCCGTACCACGGACAGAGAAACCTTTTGTTAAAAACATGGATCGGGAAACCTTTTCTTTTTACATGTTACCTTTTTAAAATAGTGCTCAGGTTATATTAGGCTGCTGTAACCATAGCAGCAGTGCTAATGCTAACGCCTTATTATACATAAAAATAAATAACTGACAGTTAATTTAATCACTTCATTAGACAATAGAAGTTTGAGAAAACAACAGTAATGAACTCTGATCCAGAGCTTCAAATGCAAAAAGTGTGAGAATTGACACTGTCATCCTCCACACGCCTCCATCATTGTGAAAGATTGACTTAATAACACTGTGAACCATTTTGCTTTTGTCCCCTTCGTCACCATTTCACTAGTATAACATTTGTCACGTTCATCTCACATTTTAATGTCATTACATTAATATTGTTGCATGTCAGTCAGTTATTTTACAGTTTCAGCTGCAGGGTTGGGGTTCAGTGAGCTTCAAATTCAACTATATGTAACATGATGCCCAAATGTTTTATAGCAGCCACCAAGTTTGTTAGTGGTTCACAGTATTTATTTGCTGTACATTTTGTTAGGAAGCCCCAGTTACATTTGTTATAATCTCAAAAGGTGTTAGAATTCCTAGGGGCTTTGCTGTCTCTCCGTACTGTAATAAGTAGCTCAGTAATTATAGATGTGATTGATCAGATAGTTGATTGAATAAGAAGTTACTGGACCCCAGTCCTGCTTTGAACAGCTTGACTAAACTCCTGCCCCTGCTGTGCTTTCACCCTTCCAGCTCCCTGACCCGTGGAATTGTAGGAGCATCATCATCATCATCATCATTCTCACCATCATCCTCACCGTCATCAAACATTGATTACTGTTTATCTCACTGGATGTATCTGTACTCTCGCAGTGCCCAGTGGGCCTCCTCGAAACCTGAGGATTTTCAACGCCACCGCCTCCACGCTCCACGTGAAGTGGGACCACGCCCCCGGCCCCGTCCAGAGCTACAACATCATCTACAAGCCTGTCGACGGAGGTGAACCCCTCACGGTACAGTCGCTTTTTGTTTTATGGTATTTAAAATAGCAGTCTTCAGTTCCCTTCTAGTAGGATGTCATAGATATTTATTATAGATGTCTATAATAAATATCATTACATACAAACAAAAGACTGAAGCAGCGGATAAAGGGGTACATTAGTTTTAGTCAGTGAAACTGAAAGTTGTGTTGATATTGGTGTGTGTTTCAGCCATAATGACAGATCTGAGATAAACCTGTGTAAACAGGATTCATTTTCATTCGGCTGAGTCTCATGGAAAATAAAGCTACAGTATATTTATATAACCCCAGTACGGTATTTTTGATAATCCTGATAAATGTGCCCCAAGTGGCAGAACTCACATAAAATGCTGTTTTTCTCAAACCACACACAAGCTAAAACCATTTGGCACTTCATTTTATCAAGAGGTGAAAACTGGCACAGCTCCACCAGCAGGAACAATAGAGCAGCTTCAGAGATTTCTAAAATGTTTTTACACCCAAAGTGTTTTGTAAACCCACCCGGGCTATCATCTGTTTGTCTGGGATGAGGGGAACAATATGAATAAATACCTTTTTTGTTGTGTAATTTCTGTATGTGTTTTTACATGAGGCTCTGTTGTGCTGTTGTTGAGGAGTGGTGGTTCTCAGCTGTGCTGCTTTTTGATCACTGGGACCATCTCCAGTCTGCCTGAGTCTCTCAGTGACAAATCAGTGGATGTCTCTGGGTTTTAAATCTGTCAGAAAAGGTTGCAGCATGAGTCCCAAACCACATATAGAAACAAATCAATTATGAATGTTAGGATTTGTTGAGAACTTTTTTCTCCCTCCTGAGATACTTTCAAGATGTTCAGAATGGGAAAAAGAGACTGTGTTCTGCAGGGAAGGAACCTAAAAGACAAATGTTCTGTAGTTCTCATGCATAAGGAATCTTTTAGTTATGTACAGATGCCTCTTAAATATGTAATAAACCAGGAGCTAACACTGTCAAAACAACAGATATCCACCTTTCACACACAGAACGAGTTTCTTTAATGAACAGCTCAATCATACAAAGGCATTGGTGCTTTAAAGCGCTTGTTTAGAAAAGTATCATTTAATTCTGACGTGAAAACCTTTTCTGCTCTCAGGGATTTGTTTACTTTTTGATTAGTTCATAAATCAACATGAATAATATTAAAATACTAGACCATATATTTGCTAGGTTTCCTCAGTTTGTTTAAAAGTCAAAGAAAATTGGAGTGTAGCTGCTGTTTGGAGTCCAGGGCTGCAGCAGATATTGTATAGTAAATCACCTTTATCGTTACATTGCTGACACCTAGCACGGCACTTCATCAGGCTGTTGTAGTAACAAGGAGGCACAGACACATAATGGCACATGGCGTGTGGGTGGAAACCAGTAGGAAGATGTCTACAGCAGGTACCACAGGAACCTACTGGCTGTGTTCACACCGTTGTAGATCTAAGTCGGAGAGAGTGCAGGGGATTTTAGCAAAATGATCATCCTTAAAAAAAAAAACAACTTGTGGTCCAATATGAATGAAGATGTAAGATGAGAGATCTCAAACACAACCTTATTTGTACATATCTTGTCTTTCAGGGCTTCTGATAGATGACCAGATCTTTATCAGACAAACAACTGTGTTTATCTCATATTGAAAGTAATG